AAAAAAAAAAAAAAAAAAAAAAAAAAAAAAAAAAAAAAAAAAAAAAAAAAAAAAAAAAAAAAAAAAAAAAAAAAAAAACAGACATACTTACTCGGAAACCCTAATGCTAATCTGAGTGGGAGCATTCAAATGGAGGCGAGGAAAGAAACAGTAAGTGAAAGAAGAAAAGGAGGGAGTAATTAGAGGGACCTGGCAACGTGATGTCAATTTGGAAGGTGCCGCCTTCGTAAGGAGTAGCGACAGGACCAGGAATGGTGCCGAGCAAGTGGGAAAGATTATCGGCTTTGGGGGTGACTCTAATACCTGAAGCCTCAATGTCCTTACTGCATTCTTGGAGTTCCTTTTGCACGCGAGCGAAATCCATCATCTTCTTGAGTGATGGATACATGGTAACCTAATCGATGGTGTTAGATGGTTTTAATACCAATTGAAAAATCGCTTAGTTTAGAAATTGGAGAAGCGAAAATGGAAATTTAGAAATTGTTGAAGCGAAGAGAATAATAGTGACTTCCGTTACCTGGATTCGCTTTCACTCTCCTCTTTTCCGTCTCTCACAATTTAGCCAACGCACTACTCTGTCCTCCTCTAATCTTTTGTGTGGTTTTTATTTATTATTTGTTATTCTATATATATATATATATAATTTATTTTTTTGGATTTAAATTTATTTATAAAATATATCTTAGATTTCATCAATATTTTTTTAAAAAAATTTGATTTGATTTGTAGTATATTTTATTTTATTCTAAATTTACTTAATTTATATTTTATTAGTTGGTATCTTGTATTCTATTTAAATATTTAAATATGAATGAAGATTAATATTTTATTTCAATTCTATTTCTCATTCTTATTAAATCTATATTTTTGGTTGGGGAGTAATATTTTCATATTTATTAACCGTGTAGATATTAGGTCATTTTTTTTCTTTTCTACAAAATAAAAATAAATTTAAAAATATGGGAACCGATCTTTTTTATTATTATTATTTGTGCATATGTTCTCTAATATATCTGAATCACTTTAAAAAAATTATAAATAATATATTAAACTAATTAAATTATATTTAAATTAATAAAAATAATAAAATAAAGTATACCTTAATAAGGTTGCCTAAAACTATAAAAGACACACATTGTCATTCTGTTAATTAGAAATGAAAATAGGTAAGATATGATAAAAAATAGAGAAAATCAAGTGGGTCTAGCAGAGAAGAAATCAAACTAAACGAGTTGGACTCAATGACTTTTTGTTATTTAAACTTATTATATTTAAAATCAAACTCAAAATTATTCTTCTTCCATATGGTAAATCAAGAGATCGGTTGAAGTTATTAAGAAACGGAAATACTGTTGTAGGTGCATGAGAGAGACGTGTGATAAAAAGTTGAGATCTGTCATAATTTAGTGATCATGAAAATTCAAACGTCAGATGTATTTTCATATAATAATGAAGATTAGGAAAAGAGAACTTCAACTAATTAATAAAAACGGTAAGAAATGGCACCTATTATGTATTATCTTTTTCTTATCATAGGAATCAAATAATAAATCTTCTTATTTCGATTTTTTGTTTAAAAAATACTGTGTTTTCAAATAAAATCATAACACATACTGAACCGTAGGCGGTATAAATAAAATGAGGATGGATGAAATACTATATTTTTTTATTTACAAATATATATTTTTATCCTAACTTATTTATAGTTTGAATTAGTTGTGGTATTCATAATCATTTAATATTTTTGAATAATATATTATATTTTATTTTATTATCGAGATTTTGTTAGTTTAGATTGGAAGGTATTAGTTGGTATCTTATATTTGTAAAGAAGATGAATATTAGGAAGATGGGAGGTTGCATTCCAATTCTATAATTCTATAATGAAGAAAATGTTGAACCTTCCATTCTAATTTGTAACGAAGAAAATGATGGGTATAACGAAGGAATGTGAGACTGAGGAGGAAGAAGAAGGAAGGGAGAAAAGTAAAAGGGGTAGAACATTGGGGGATTTTGGGGAGGGGGATGTTATGTGTGTGTTGGGTAATGCATTGAAGGATTTAAAAGCTAATTAGGCATAGGCATGGGGTTTGGTTTGTCGTGTGCTTCTTCACAACGCCTGATTGGAAAATAATAATGCATAAAAATTGGTGGGTTTTGATCCCCTGCCAATGCCCATGCGGGTGGATGTGAGTAGTGATGCTGTCAACCCGAGCACAGCAAGGGGTGTGACGAGGCCTCTCAACCCGAATGCAGCAAAGAGGTGACGACCCCTCTCTGCTCTGCTCAGCTCAATTGCTCATACATTGTGAATGTTTGATTAATCCACCACACCTAAATGGTGTGAAAGTTATCTTATTTATAATCAAATTAATTACAAGGATATGGAAATAATAATAAATGGAAAAATACCTATGATAATAAGGCAAATATTAGATATTTGCATTATAATAAAATATCAAATATAATATATATGGTAAACTATAATTTATTACTAAATATTCTTAACACCCCACCGCAAGCTAAGCGTCGGATTTAAACGAACGTGAAGCTTGAATCTGAAAAATTCAAAGAGGTTGAGAAACACTTTTCTTGAAGAAGTCAACAACCTGGTTCAGAGGAGGCGTAGAGAAACACTCTCTTGGCCATCGAAAATTGCAGAGGAATCGCCGCTCAGCGGCAATGCTGCCTTGGCTTCGGCGAGAATATGTCTAACCCATGAAGAGGGATTGTCGCTTAGCGACGATGCTGCCTTGGCTCTGGTGAGAATATTTCTAACCCCAAGAAGTAGAAGGGGAAACCTAGAGCAAGGGACAAAGACAATGTTGAAGCCGGAAGAGTCGCCACATTGGGCGAAGGAGCCAATTTTGGCGAGAAGGACAGTCGGAAGAGTCGCCTCATCGGGCGAAGAAGCCAATTTTGGCAGGAAGGGCGGCGGCAACTTGGTTGGCGAATAGGCCAGTGCGGCACCCAGATTCCGAAGGTAAATCTCTGCAAAAGGTTGATAGGTTTAGGTTAGGGTTTATGTGAAGGATGAAGGTTGATTGGGAAGAAAATGAGAGAGACTATATTGGCCAAGGGGAAAACCGATTGGGTTGGAAAAGGTGAGGTTGTATGTACAGAGTATGACGAAAGGTGATTTGGAGGTCAATAGGGTGGAGCTGAAGAGTAATCAATCGGCTCCGCCTGCAGCAGCCATGAAGACTGCCCCTGCGGCGTCAAAACCAGCAGGAGTGGTGGAGAAGAAGATTAGAGGATTCAAAAGCCATTGAAAAGAAAGGATTGGGTTGTTAAACTGAGAGGGCTCTGATACCATGTGAATGTTTGATTAATCCACCACACCTAAATGGTGTGAAAGTTATCTTATTTATAATCAAATTAATTACAAGGATATGGAAATAATAATAAATGGAAAAATACCTATGATAATAAGGCAAATATTAGATATTTGCATTATAATAAAATATCAAATATAATATATATGGTAAACTATAATTTATTACTAAATATTCTTAACATACATACATAAACTTGAAAAATACAATTTTGTTTTCTATTTTAAATGGTTTTAATTATTGTGTTTTTAGCAAGAATTTAAAATCGTGCCTGAAATAATAATGTCTCTAAAAATATAAATCTTTAGTCCACACGTATAAATTTCATTCCGTCTTAAAATACATTTCAATAGACCATAAATAGAGGTTTGGCCACATTTGGGTTAAAAGAAAAATTAGGAAATTGGGCATATTTCACATTGAACTCACTATTATTAGACAATTTTGTGTAGAGTTTGTTTATCTTATTTGATGAAATGACGTGGAAAAAGTGGAAATAGCTTTAGCTAGCATAGCGTGCAAACATGCCCAATAATTGTCCGTGAGCCCATCAACCTGGTTTTTTTAATTTCAATAGAGTAGAAAAGTAAAGAGAGAAGAAGAAAAAGATTTATTGAGGGTAAAAACTGTTGAGTGTGAGGGAGGTTACAAGGAAAAAACAAGAGAGTCCGGTGGTGTGCGGAAAATGGGGGATGGCTGAAAGGCATGCGATCCCAGTGGCAGTGAAAAAACAAAAAATGGGCGTGGTTGTTCTTTGTTATGTAGACGTAGCTTTTTACGCATCCAATACCTCATAATCCTTTTAGTTTTTGTGCTATTAATACCCCTTCTTTCTACGTAACCACGCCATTCATTTTCATCAACATTTCATTTCTTTCTTCTTCCTCCTCCTCCTCCTCCTCCTCCTCCTCCCATAATAATCTAATATGCCCGACAATAATGTCGAATTGGAAGCCAAGTCCCAGGGCCTCCATGCCAAACTCTACCTCTCTTCCCAGATTATCCTCAGAGCTTCGGTAATTTCCTCCACATTGGCCGCCACCTGGACCCTCATCACCGCCAAGCAATCCGTCGTCATCTTCGGCTTCACTTTGGACGCCCGATACAGCTACTCCTCTGCTTTCAAGTAACTCCCTGCTCCCTGCTCCCTACTCCCTACTCTTTTTTGTTTTCCATATATTTGATCCAAAATTAATTTTATGGTGCAGATTCTTTGCCATAGCCAACGCTGTTGCCTGTGGCTTCTGTCTTCTGTCCGTGTGCTTTGTTTTCATATCAACTCGGCAGTTGGCGTTGGGGAGCCGTCAAAGAAACTTCTTCTTCTTTGTTCACGATTTGTTGATGATGGGATTGGTGCTGAGTGGATGCGCTGCTGCCACCGCCATCGGGTTCGTGGGGAGGTACGGGAACACCCACACAGGGTGGTCGCCCATCTGTGACCAATTCGGCAAGTTTTGCAATCGCATCACCATTTCCATCGCCATCTCTTATTTTGCTGTGCTTTGCCTCCTCATACTCACCATCATCTCTGCAAATCCAACCAAACTCCAACGCTAATTTGGCCCGTTTTGTTGTGTGAACTCCGGTCAGAAATTTGGGAATGGCGAGGTTTGGTTAATGGGTTTAGTGATGATGTGTGCATTTTCCATCTTCTTTGTCCTTACCTTCTGTGTTGCAGCCGCATAACTGATGTTTTTGGTTTTTTCTCATTCTCATAAATTTGCTTTCTACCTTTCTTCCTTTTACTAATTAATTGCATAATATAACATACTTTCTACCTTCAATTCACTTCAACGTGGTTTCTTTTTTTTAATACTATTTTCAGAGTGCCCATTTTTTTCCAGACCAAACCAACCACATAATATATATGTGTATATATATATTCAAAAAAAATATGTGGGCGCAAGCAACCAGGTAGCACTCAAATATTTTTCTTTCAAAATTTATGTAAAACATCTCCACGTGTGGTATGAATGGAGGTGAGTTCGACAGGTTTAGTTTTCCGATAAATATAGTTTTTATTACTTTAGCGATAAAAATGTTGATTCACCAATCAGACAGGTTGAGTATCCTATTTTATTCAATTTGAAGTAATTGAGGTATTATAGATTGAATAAAATAATATTTTGAAGTAGATGAATGATAATTCAAATTGGGACTTATGGTATATTAATAAATTAATTTAGTATTACATAATTACATCGATGCATATGAAATATAAATATATGAAATATATGGAGAGATGGATGGAAGTAGAATTTGAATGAC